TCAGGGTTACTCCAAACTCGCCCAACCATTGACTGATCTTACAAAGAAAAATAAACCATGGCTGTGGACCGAGGCGTGTCAAATGGCATTTGATGGATTAAAGGAGTGCTTGACCAGTGCTCCACTCCTTCGTATGCCAGACCCTGAAAAAGAATACGAGGTAGTTGCTGACGCCTCCGACACGGCATTAGGGGCTATCCTATTGCAAGAAGGACACCCCATTGCATACGCCAGTAAGAAGATGATACCCGCCGAACTTAACTACTCACCTACAGAAAAAGAGTTGTTGGCATCGGTATTTGCTGTACAACTCTGGCGGTGTTATTTGGAAGGCAGCAGGTTCCGCCTTGTGACGGACCACTGCCCTAACACTTACTTTAAAACACAACCCACGTTGTCACGAAGGCAGGCTCGCTGGTCTGAAACCTTTCAACAGTTCCAATTCGAATGGGAGTACCGCCCAGGGCGTGCAAACGTCGCAGATCCCCTTAGTCAACTCCCGGATCGGACTGTTCGAGCGCTCGGGATGCCACATTACTTACGAGTAATGAGTGTGAGCAGCAGACCAGAACCAGATCACCAGCTCACGGAACCCACTGGTGGTGCTTCGTCTACCTTGGTGACACGATTCAAAGATGCATATGAGAGCGCTACTGACTTGAAACCACACATCGAGTCCGGTGCACTCTTGTATGATAAGGGGTTGTTGTATCGTGGGGATCGACTAGTAGTACCTGGGCGTGAATTACGGAGGGAAGTGTGTGGACAGGCTCACGACTCTCCGTACTCTAGCCACTTTGGTCAGACGAAAACCATCGACCTGACACAACGGTATTACTGGTGGCCAGGGATGCGAAAGGATATCATAGAATATGTCCGCACCTGCGACATATGTCAAAGGTGTAACTATAGTCGCCTTAAGCCAGCTGGCTTGACGCAACCCCTGCATATCCCAGCCTCACCATGGGAAGCAGTGAGCATGGACTTCATCATGGATCTGCCAAAAACAAAGACCGACAATAATGCGATCATCGTCTTTGTTGACCGCTTGACGAAGATGGTCAGATTGGCAACGACTACCACAGAGGTTTCCTCCAAGGAGACCGCTGATCTCCTCATCCATAATGTCATTAGGCATCATGGGTTACCCAAGGAGTTACTGACTGATCGCAACAGCCGGTTTACTTCTGGGTTCTTCTCTCGACTGTCAGAGAGATGGGGGATTCGGCACCTTAAGAGTACAGCCTATCATCCACAGACGGATGGTCAGACTGAGGTTATGAACCGCATTGTCGAGGATTACCTCAGGAGCTATAGTGCTACTGTACAAGACGATTGGGATCAACAACTCAGTTTAGCTGAGTTTGCTATAAATAATGCTAAGAATGAGTCAACCAAAGAGACTCCCTTCTTCCTAAATTATGGGCGACATGTAGTCAGCCCACTAGCATATGATATCCCAACACGTCTTGCACAGTCTGACACCACCCGTGAGGGGTGCAAGGGATACGAGGTCCCAGACCAGATCCCGGCTGTAACTCAAATGACGGCTAAGGTTGCCTCTGCCCTAAAGTTGGCAAAAGAGCACCTACAACAAGCCCGAGATCGTCAAAAACATGTAGCGGATCCGCATAGACGAGACGCCGTCTATCAAGTAGGAGATCGAGTACTCCTGCAATCAAAGAACATCTCCCTGAAACATCCAGGGACGAAAAAGCTCTTGCCAAGATGGCTTGGACCATTCCGAGTGGAGGCGAGAATTGGTGAGGTCGCCTACCGACTCGCGCTGCCGCCGAGCATGAAACGGGTTCACCCCGTATTTCATGTTTCGAAATTGGCATTATATAAAGATGGAGGCCGTGTACAACCTCCACCCCCTCCAATTGAGTTGGAGGGTGAACTCGAATACACTATCGAGAATATTCTTGACAAATGTGTTTGACAAGTACGAAACAAACTACGTACAGAATACCTAGTAAAATGGACCGGGTATGGTCATGAACACAACAGTTGGGAACCCGAAAGAAATATGACCAATTGCGCAGAAATATTACAAACATTTGAAAATCAATATGCAAAACATAATCACCCATCAGGTGCTAGACGTAGTAAGCGTCAGAAACAAAGACGCTAAGAATTAATTCTTGTACCTGTCATTCAGGTGATCTACCGCTGGATTCAGAATGTCGAGAGAGGCATTCGACTAGCGCGAGCACCCGCACCTAGTAGGGGCAGTGGACCCCCAGGTCGCGGTGGATCTAGCGGCCGTGGTAGAGGAGGCCGGGATGCCCGTGGTGGTCGCGGACGCGGCTCACCTTCGGGTAGCTGATTTACCTCCAGTAGGGAGCGACGGACTTTCCCTTGGGGTGATCCCAGGGTGACACACAGACACATAAACAGAGGAGGGATTTGACTTGACATTGTTTTGTATGTATGGCTCCTCTTATTAATGTGTTCTGCTAACAACAAAACAGGTAAGGTGTTTGTCTCAACCGGGAGGCTTGCTGGACGACCCTCTGGTGAGTTCTCGCCGCGTATTTACTTGATACATTGTATACCTCCGAGGACGTCGGTCCCGGGGGAGGGACGAGTTGATACGCCGTATGGGTATTAAACCCATTAAGGCATTATAGAATATATTGAGTTCTACTAATGGAACTCTACTTTACTAGGAACCGTCCCCTTGTCACTGGTCTAGGGTGACTGGCTTCTCTAGACTACGTATGTAGTCTCAAGCCACGTAAAGTACTAGAATATATAAATATAGATATTATACCGTCTTGTAACGGGTGGTCCGGCGTGAGTCATGGTGACTCACGTGCCGTGGCGAGGTGGGTCCACGGACTTAGCGGGAAGGCGCCCACCGTAGCATTAGCCTGTATCAGCATTTCCAGCACTCCCTGCCATAAACTGGTTGTGTTCCCCAATCTTCTGCCAAGTACCGCTGGATATATGGGCCGCCGTGTCTATCTTGTACATCAAACTGCCCAGGGCAAGCCTGGCAGGGATGGACACGGCACTTGCGATGCTAAACCTGCCAGGTCTGCTGGTGCACACCGAACACCACAGGTTGGTGTCTTTGTGGCCCGCCGTGTTTGCTAGCCAGTCCTTCCTTCTCCCAAACTGGGATAGTGCAGCAAGTGGGTTGGCTGGATGAAGACCACGTCCCCCCGGGTGACGCCAATGCCTGGAGCCCCCAAAATTTTAGTACCTTGTTTGTACGGCAATCTTTCTGCTCAAGCCGTAACACTTAGGAGTATTTGCACCCCAAGACACCCCAAATAACTACCACAAAGGTCGCAGCATTAGCAGAGAGCTTGCAGAGTTTATGTGACTTCACACATTTTGGTGGTCTTTCAGTGGCCACTGAGCAACCCATGGATTACTTGCTGGTGTCGAAAATGAAATGGAATCGGGCAGCCGATTCACAACTTTTGGTCGCATGGAGAACGCCCGCTCCGGATTGAGGGGCAGTAACCCCAAATCGACGACAACCACAAGGGTTAGAATTTCTATTCAAGGTCTTGAATGATAAGCACAGGCAAGTTTTTTTTGTCAAACTTACGTAAGCAAACCAGATGCTATGGCCACATGGACACACAGAAAGGCGTAATGGTATGCATACGGCACCAGTATGGGGAAATCGGCCAACCTGCCAGTGTCAAATGGGCCCATTGAAGCATTATTGGGGGTTGCACATCGCATTCTCCTTTGAGCACACAGTGACCGGGAGCTGCTGGTCAGCTTGTGCACTGCGCAGCTGATAAAGTTCCTTAGCCATCCCGGTTCGAGGTCCCGCTCGTCGCAATCGAATGCACGCGCAGCGATGGGCCACAACGCAGCACAAGTCAAACCGTTTTGGTTCGACCTCTGTGGCAACCTTGGTGCACACGGTGCTCAAATGCACTCGCCGTGCATGGTCGGACAAGCAGCCAAGACTCAACTTGTCTTACAACCAAACCAAGAGAAGCCACGAACAGTCTCGGGCTCTCTTTAAATCCCAGAATGCGCCTCTTTTTTTGCCCACCAACACTCACACTCAGAGCGCCGGATTGAACTCACATTTCGCCCACGCACAACACGCTACCCCACAGCACCGACCCCTGGCATCGACCCACGGCACCAACCCACAGCTCCACCCAACAATGCCAACTCATGATCCCCCAAATTAGTAAGATTGAAGCTAATTGTTGGCCGGCCGTCCTCCTGCCATCTCAATCAGGTCAATGTGTGCAACAGTTAACCAGCACATGAACAGGTGCTTGCACAGCATGGCAGCTGCGCCTGTCATGGTGTGTCAGACGTTCATCTCTTTAAACTGGCTTTTTAATATGTATTCACTTCTCTCATTGAGTTTCACTGCACATCAGTGTTCAGCCACCGACCTCCAGTTCTGAAAACTGGAAAGTTGCATGTGAAACATTGAGAAAAGGTGACAGCCATTTAAAGATATTGTTGATGGCATTCCTTGAAATGGGATTCTCATATGCCACCATTTAATCATCGGGCTGCAAATCAGTAATTGACGGAGGCAGATCAGTGGTCAATTACTGGTAATTCGAACAGCAGCACCATCGCCAAGGCGCCACAGAGCAACGCCACGAGCAAACAGCGCCGGGCCATCTTGCCGCTTCGCTGGGCTGCTCGGTTCAGGGGTCTCCTGAGCCTTGGAGCACAAGCCAATCATAAGGCCCAACACCTGCACCACCGGCAATGTGTGTGAGGGGTGTGACTGTGACTGTGCTGTACATCGTCTGCTGTGTGCGGTACTCGCGAAAATCCAACGGCCTCGTGCATTCAACCGACTCTCCCAGCGATTAGGACCTAAGCAGCGAAACTCTAAGTTTCCGCCCATAAATAGGGGGCAGAAGTGGCGCACCCACAAGCCCGGGCGCCCCAGACGCCCTAGAGCAGATTTCCGCCGTTCGCTCGGGCCACAGCCCCCTCCCCCCGCCAGCTTCGGCGCTCCGCGCTGTCCCCCGATGCCCCCGCCCATCGCAATGGCCTCCCCTCCCGTCAGCCTGGCCTCCTCGCGCCAAAGCCCCCCGTCTCCTGGCTCGATCACGGGATCGCGCCACCCGCCGTGGCTGGTCTCATCTGGCCGCAAGCGCCGCATCGGCCCCGTGGCTGCCGGCATAGGCGACGTGTCCGAGAGGCTGTCAAAGGCGCTGATGACGAAGGAGCCCTACGTCCTGCTGCCCAAGGAGGAGTCCATGCTGGTGGTCAAGACCGTGTTTGAGGTGGGCGGCGGGAGACCCCGGGGCATGCGCGTGTGGCAGTAGATAGCGTGCGGGCTTGTCCGCGAATGCCGCGTTCACTTTTGAGGTCCGCTTGCTTTGGGCGTGGTACGCAGTCACGCTGGCGGGGTGTCCTTGTGGGGGTGCTTTGGATCCGTGGCATGGGCACCGATGACGACGACGGACATGCGCCAATGTGCATTCAAGCCATTGCAGGGATGACCGCGAGCTTTGCAGAAATTGGCTACAGAAGGAAAACTTGCCCTTGCAAGGCGTGCATTTCTTCCGTTTTCGTGGCATTGAACGGGCGACCCCGCTGCGGTTGGTGTAGGTGATTGGGGATGTGATGACTGAGGGTGACAGGCTCGTCCTTCCTGGCTTTGGGTCGTTCGAATCGGTACCCAGGAAACCCAGGAAGGCAAGGAACTTGCAAACCGGGGAGGAGTTTGTGACGGAGGCCAAGATGGCACCCAAGTTCAAGGCCTCCAAGCAACTCAAGGACAGGGTCCACGACGCCCTGAAGTCCAGGCTACACACCCAATGAGGCAGCCGGTGGAGCTCTGCCAACACAGCAGAGCCAGGGATCGACCAGTTTTGAAATTCTTTGGAGGAAGAGTTGAGAGCCCGGAGGCACATGCGGATCGGCATAGGGCGCCTTTCTGAAACGACGAGTGACAGTGCTGGTGTGGTTTAAAAATACTGCTCCTCAGGGGGGAAGGAAGCATGTAGATGAGTCAAGTTCTTGACCGTGATGGCCTTGTCTTTATGTTCTTTGTTAGGCATCCTGTGCGAAGTACTTGCTCTTTTCCAGCGCAAGTTTTTGGTTTGTCGCTGGAGATTTGGCAGGAGGCTAATTTCATTGCAGATCGCGCAACCCATCGCAGACATTGAAGCAAAACGGTATGTATTTCTCAAATCACAAGTGACACACCAAATGTGCATGTGCTGGTGACTTGCCCTGCAGGTCGCTACCGCTAGGTATTATGGCCCTGGCTAGGCGTCAAAATTATGCCCCAGAGGTTAGTTGAGTTGTGAAGTTGCTAATGTATGGGGCACAGAAGCCAAATACAGCATGTATCCAAACTGCTAGAAATATCTAATGGACAGTTGCTTTGCCGTCACTTCTTGAACTGGAGGCGCTGCCTGAAGCCAATAACACTGTCTCACAAGAAATAACAGTTGGTGATCATAATCTACAGTCAACCATCAAACCATGTAAAGGTCTCTAAAGATGGCCACTGTGGCATCAGATACTGATCGATGGAACAAGTGAAGTCCTTAGTGTGCATAAAGAACAAGTATCACCAGTTGATGACTGACGAGATGTCGCCGCTCCCTGCAGAAACTTCAGCGATCCAATTCGATCCCCACATTGAGCAAGGTCAGGCAAAAAATTGCCCAGACAGGCTGCAGGCAACAAAACACACAATCATCCTCAACCAAGTTTGGCACGCATTAACTGTTCACCACTTCTCTATGCGAGGGTCCTCAGGTTTGTGGCCTTGCGCTACGTTGGGCTCGGCTGGGCTCCAACCTAAGAGCAGTGCTTTGCAACATGCCAGCATCTTTGATGCCTGAACTCCCAATGTCCAAATATTGTCGTTATGCTTGCACTCTATTGGAGTGCAACATCATGCCCTCCAGGTAAACAGCTGCCAATTTGGCAGTGCCAAGGAGGACGACCCATCCTTGCACCACGCTTTGCCAATGAACTGTATTGATGGGGACAGTCAACGTCAACACCTTCCCAACCCCCAATTTCTCCCGCACTTTAGGCACACACAGGTCAACCATCCACCAGTTGCTGCCTGAAAACTTGGTGGATTGCCCAAAAAACGCACCACCCCAATCTGGTCCCCGTTGAAGCAGCCAGGGCAACATCAGCTGCGTGCTGATCCGTATTGCTCTGTTGTTCACAGTGCCTGAAATGACGAAGCAGAACCTGGCTGGCTACCACCACTGCAGGCTGCAGCACACAGCGCGATTTGTGCCGTGGTGACAACAAACAGGTACCTCGCAGCTCCTCACCGATGGCTCGCAGCACTTGCTGGACCATCCGCTGCCTCGAGCACCAGAGAATTGCTTTCTGCGTGCCCCATCCGATCAAGAGCACCTGCCAGCATGCTTCAGCGCAATTGGCAAGCGATCCAAAATGTCTGGGTGCACAAGCATTCTTTCCTACAGAGTCATGAAAGTGGCGAAATGGACGCGAGAGGAATGCATGTGGCCGTCAGCTATGTTGCCCAGGCGTCAGCAGCGAACAGAGTATAAATCAAAGTCCTTCATCACCACGCCTGCAGAACAGCACCAGCCAAGATTACAAGTGGTCCGGAATTGCAGTTTCTCGTTGGCAGTTTTGATGCTTGGGAGACACATTCATTTCGCTGGCTGACAAGAGTATCTAACAAAGATTGATGCCCAGCGCTGGATCCTGCAACGAACATCGGATTCTTCAGTTTCAACAAGGGCACCTACAAACAGTGAGAGGAGCCATGGACCGCTCACATGCAGATCAAAACGTCGACGAATGCTATGGCGTGACAGCATGACATTTAGATTCCATTCGTTCTAGCACCAGTACTGCACAATTAGGGCAAGTGCAATTAGCTTTCTGGCTGCTGGCACAACGGCATATACCGTTTCGTCTGCAGTGGCACGGATAATCCACATCGCCACACAGGCAGCATCTTCTGATGATCCTGCTGTGTTTCAATGCAGTCATTTGCATCAATGGGTGCATACGCACCCTGCATTGTGAGTCACAGTTTGCGACTGATGCCCTGCGGGGCATCTGGGAGACTTACCAAGCTTGACAAGCACCACTCCCGCCGCTTTGGTTTGCAGACGAAATCTATCCCCTGGTGTGTACACCACCTCTTCTGCCTTCAACCTTGGGCCCCGACCGAGGAAGCAGCTGAGCAGCTCTTCTCTTGCAGACCCCTGCATTCACACCGCACCATCGACTTGTGAGGTCTTTCCCCACCAGCGGAATTCTTCTGGCTTCTAAAACAGGGAGACACACACTTTGTGTGCATTTAACTTCTGGCAGAATGCTGTGTTACAGCAGCAGGTGGGTTTGGCAAGCCGCAACTCACCCTCATGCGGTGGACACTTGGCTGAGGCATCCCACTGCTTATGCTGGTTGAGTGAGCACTTGACTGAGACATGTCATGACTCATGCTGTGTCACTCCCTTCAGTGTGATGGCTTGCAAAGGTGGGGAATCCACAACCTCTTCGCACAAGCAGCAAGGAACACAAGCCATGGTTCTGGTGGCATGGAAGCTCCAGCCGTGCTGTGACATCATCATCATTCCCTCAGCAAGCACGACCATGACACTAGCCCATCATTCTCTTGAGAGTGCCTTGTCTTGCTCGCCTCCAAAGGGATTCCTAGGAGCGAATCTTCAGGTCGCTGTTTCCAGCGCTGCAGACTAGCTAGAGCAGCTGTCGCCATGTCAGTGCAGTGAGCCACAGTTGTGCCTTCTCACAATCAGCCCACCTCTGGGACCCAAGTTGGGCAGTCCAGTTCATACATGCCTGGTGCTGTGGGGATGTGACAGAACCCATATCCGCCTAGTAGAACGCACACAGATAAATATGTGGGACCAGCTGCCACACACCTAGATAGCTGTGCCAACTTTTGCCGGTGGATGCAAAGGTAAAAGTTAGAGGAACACAAGGATGCAGGAATGGAAAGCCGTTAATGTGCAATGGCATATTTGGACAATCAGGATCAAAAAAGATTTTAGTTGCCGATGTGATATTTATGTGCTTGCCAAACCAGATTGGAATAAGCCTGCAGTAGAAGGGTATGGAAAACACACTGCTGTAGTGCCTCTTGACATTGTGTCAATTGCTGCCAATGTGAAGTTCTCAAAACTGCTGCAGTCTTGTGATCTGAGCTCAGTAGAAACAGAACACATGACCTGTGTACTGTTTTACAAACTGTATGTGTTGGATAAACTCATCCATTCAACAATTTGGACTACTGGTGACAGCCAATGAGCTGGGATCCGGGGCTTGCACTTGAACAAGTGTTAGGAACGTGCGCTTGGCAGAATTGGTATGCGCTTTCAAACCATGGGGCAACAAATGCTCGAAACCACTCCTTGGCAGAGGTGGCGGCCACCCTTTGGTCATTCTCAAGCTGCCTCAGCCATAAAACACCCTCAGATCCAGCGCAGGCACACAGTGTTGATGACAACTGCTCACATAAGTCAAAGCGTCCATGCGTGTCTTCGCTCCAGACTTGAAAATGCAGCTTGGGCCACCCCACAAGGCCCTTCACGGAGTAATGGAGGTCGAGGGGGTGAGACCAGACTGCAGGCTCGCCCTCTTCAGGATGGTCCACTTGTGTCTGACCCTTGTCGATCCCTTCCAACAGATCCCAGCACTCACCAGCAGACACCCCCCACTGAACGAACAGGAAATCTTCATACGTTACATGTGCCTACAAAATGCTTGGGCGCTGCCCTTGCAGCCATCAGGCGATGTAAGGCAGTTGCACATATTGCAAGACATCTCGTTGTTTGTTTTTCATGGGGACTTCATTTTCTGTCTTCTGTAGAATGGAAGAAGCTTCAAAACATTGTTGCTCAGGGCTGGCGGTGGGAGAAGGTTTGGGCAGAAGGCCGTTGCATGACATGTTTGCTATCTGTTGACAAGAAAGTCTACAACCCACACTGCGATGGATAGCCGGTCACAGATGATAGCTTGCACCCTGCTGTGGTACCAGCAAACAGAGTGTAGAAATCAGACCCAAGAATTGTCTGAAGATTGGCCGATCCCACGGTCACCTCCAAGGCATGCTTTGGATCCCACTGGGCACAAAGGTTGGCAAGTCTTGCGTTCAACTGATAAATGCAAGCTCCCACCAAGCAATCAGCACCTCAACTCGTTGTCACGGCGTGTCAAACCGATTATTGGGATCGAGTCGCGACAGCAGGGAACGCAAACAGTCTTTCGACCCAAAGCGTGTGGAGTAACTTCCGCGGCTAGAAAAGAATGGGGTTGTGTTGTGGCGCTCCCGGGTGCTTTGTGTCCATAACAGCAACAGTCTTGCAGGTTAATGGCAGCCATGAACAGGCGTTCTCAATCCCACGTCCAACCGCTGGCAAAGGCAACAACCGAGAGCAAAAATACCGAGCTGCACGCAGGGCATTCACCACAGTTCTTGCAGAAGCCGAAACAGCTGGATTTACACAACACGCAACTCTGACAGAACAGCAACAGCGGCGGCGAACGCAGACGCGCACACGGAAGGACACCTTGCAGAAGACGCTCTTGTCCTCGAAGCCCGAGGCGCCGGCTATCTCCCCCAGGGCGTGGAACTCCGCCATGGGCGCCCGACGTGGAGGGCCGTCACTTGGACCCCGTGGGCCCACGGGGGCCCCGCCAGAGGATATGGATAACGGCCAAAAAGAGGGGACAATGGCCAACGCCCGAAAAGTTGAGGATATTTTTTCTTTTCTTCTATCCTCTTATCTTCGTTTCTCTATTTCTGCAATCTTCATTTCTCCTTTTTTGTATTTCAAGACTCTGTTCAAGACTTTTTTTTGTCAAAGAGCGTTTTTTTTCTCAGGGCGCTGTGGGCGCAGAGGATCCTGTGCGGGCGTGCGGGCGCAATCGCCACACACACGCCACAGCGCAAACGCACCCACATCACCCTGACGACCCGCGGCGTGCGGTCTGAGTGGCGGGTGCGATGCGGGCGGCCGTCTTCGCGGAGTGCGGGGCCGTTGGCTGCCGCGCGGTGGGTTGCCGAAAGGGGGGGGGGCGGCCGCCCCTTGCCGGTGAGAAATCGAACGGGAAGCTCCGCTGCCGCCGTTTTCGTGTCTGAGGATTTTTGTGTCTGGTGTTCAGGGCGGCGATCGTCGCGCGGGATGGCATTGTCGAGGAGGCCCTGTTCTTCCTCGGCGGGTCAGGAGCCAGTTCGGGAGCCAGGTGGGTGGTGATTGGGTTGGCCGGTTTGGGGGCGCCCAGGCTGCCCGCCAAGTCAGCCCTTGACTGTCTGGTGGCCGCTGGCCGAGAACAGCAAAGGCGCCCGAGTCTTCGAAAGTTGTTTGCGCGACGGTTTAGGGATCCGGTTTCGCAGAAAAGGCTCTAAGAACGCGTTGAGGTGCATGGATTCGTGGTACCCTGGTCGATGGCATGAGCACATGGGGATGCTCAGCAGCCCTATCGTAGCTGGCTTGGGGCCTGCTCGGGGCTAGCTTCTGCGCCGCTGGGGCGCGGAAAGTGCTTCAGGGTGTGAAATTATCAACGTCGAACAAAATCGTTTGTCCATTCAACCATGAACCCACAGTCAAGTGACTGAATATGGTGCTGGGCTTCAGATGTCAATGCTGGACCCCACCATGGCCTGTGCACTTTATGCACTCATAATGCCGCTTCAGCCGCCCCTGTGTAGCTTATCAAGTCGGTGTGTGTTGGTGCTTTTGCAGTTTTCCTTCCAAAGTATAGGCTCATTGACAGTTTTGCTACCTCGAGGCCCATATCATACCAATAGTTCACCAACCACAACAACGATATCAACAGTTCATAGATGCGCACAACAAGCAAGACTTTTTGGCATTTATGTGGTACGCAAGATTCACGTTAACAAGAGCAAACATATGCCATGCAATGGTGACCATTCTCCAGGGCAGGAGAGTGATGAAACTCTAGTAGATATTGTCAAAGACGATGTGGGAATCCCCAAAAGCAGTGCGGACATACACAATACCTTGCATGATGCATAGAAACAGAACATGCACACATGCCAGCTCAGCAAGATAAAGGACATGTTTCACTGTCCATGAAACCATGATGTTGTGCGAGCATCATGAGTTTGTCCACCATCACATACACATCCACCCACTCACACGAACACCTCTATCTGTCATAAGGCAAAACCTGGTGCCATGGCAAACCATACCCCGTATCCCAAGTTGTTATTCCTATTCAACCCCCCGTCGACCACCAGCCAAAGCCTGTGTGGTCCATTGCAAGCGCTGAGCCACAGTGCCCGCTCCCCAAGCCTGAAGCCATGTGAGAGGGAGATTTCCGCAAATTCGATGTGTCATCATAGAAATGCTCGACGTACAAAAGCAAGCGAGTTCAAACCAATCGTGAGGCGTGCACCATACTTCTGCCTGGTGAAGACCCATACAGCCACGCTGGAAATCCAAACACCCAATTGAGATCCAGCAGAACCAGTATGGGCGTGGCTGGCTAATATGTTTGTGTGTTCTTCATTGGCTGCTGCAGGCCAACCCACATTTGAAATGGTGTCTGAGAGCCGAGGCAGAAACAAGCACAGAGGATTCTGAGGTTGAAGTGAGTAAGGACTCTGGCATGCAGCTTGAATTGCCCCTGTGTGCGACTCTGTTGCTTACGTTGCCAAGTTATGCCTAATGCAACACAACCGGCACCTCTGATGTCCATTATGGGAATAAAATGCTGGCTGTCTTTGGCGGTCTGTAGCTACAGCTGTTCCTGCTGTGGTGTAGCAGTGTGGTTTCTGAAAACAAGCACTGGAGATCTGCACCTTTGCAAGGATTTGCTGTGCATGTAAATTTTCAAGGTGCCCCCTTGAATTGTAGATCAGTTGTTTTCAGAGGTGTCAGTTGGTGACCAAGCATTCCCACTTTCATGAGGCACAGTCACGGTTTGATTGCATTGTCAAGTGTCACACAGCACCACCCTTTGCGCATTCGAGCTGAAAACACTCACTTTCAGCTGTCCCACCATTGTTCCCCTAGTCCCATCGCCACCTCTATTCCGAGAACCATTCATTTGTATTCCTCCACTGCACAGACGCTCATAAATTGTGCAGAACAACCTTGGACAGCATTTGGCGGAGCAGTATTGCCCACCATCCTGCAACAAGTGTGCCAGCATAGTATCATGAAACGCAGCCCTCTGGCGATGTTGCTTTGACCGCAGTTCCCATGGGAATATGTATATTCAAAGGGTATCAGCCTGCAGTGGGTATATGCACCCAGACAGAACAGCTGCATTGTTTGTCTCTGGTGCAGTTTGTGGATGAGGAGGCGGCAAAGAGGCAGAAGGCAGAGGCTCTCAGGGCTCAGGAGAAGTTCATGGTCATCGGCGAGGGCAATGCTACCTGCAGCAGCTGCGGATACGAGTACCTGCGAGAGAAAGGGGATAAAGAGTTTCCAGTGCCAGCAGGCACTAGTTTCCTGGTGCGTTTTGGGTCATTGTAAAGGGCTCTGTCACAGCAAGGCCAGGGAACACGAGCCAGATTCAGAGTTTGTTGCATGCGTGCTAGCGCCATCGTACAGGCACAATCACTCTCAGTCGAACAATTCGTGACATCTATTCACAGAGCCCATGCTGTGCTGCGGAGCGATGGCTGTTAGTCATGTTGCTGCGCATCTGTACCTTTCGTGATGTTGCCTCCTGATATCTGCATTACCCTCAGGCCCCTCTCGCCCTTATAGCGCTGCAGGTCTTGGGAAAGGGTTCATGTCCTGGATATGGAAAAGCATGGGGCCAAGGGGTGTGCATATCCAGGATTGGGGCGAGGGTTTGGATCTTTGTTCTGATGTTGTACACAGCACTGACCTGCATGACTGTCGACCTGCGCTGTTGTATATCCCTGTGCTTCCATGAATTTAGGGCTCCGATTCATTGCCAGCGTGCGTGTGCTTGCAGACCCAGGCTTTATTCTCATGGTCAGTGCATTAAAAATATATTACCTTTTTCACTTGTGTGCAAATATTGCTTGTCGCCAACTATTGTGGCATGCAAAGGTCGTGCAGGAGAAACAACTGCGCTTCAAATGTTCATGGCTTGTGTTGTTCACATGATGTGTTGCCATTTCCAAAAACAAGTGCACCTTATTGCCCATTGGGCCACATGTTGCTGACAATGCCTGCAAGGAATCAAAAGGGCACCCACTTGATGACCTGCAACCTGAACCCACATGAAGTATTCCCAAGCACCAATGTTTGGTCCAGATGGTTCGATTTGGATTCCACATAAGACTGACCCCACTGAAAGCATGGTCACCTGTCATGGCCAGGACTTGCCTGATGACTATGTGTGCCCATTGTGCGGAGCTGAGAAGTCCAAATTCAGGTCCTCCAGCCAAGAAGTGGCTGGCTTTGCTGTCAACCAGGGGTATGGCTTCGGTGCAAACACCATGACGTCAGGACAGAAGCAGCTGCTCATATGGGGCTCATTCGCCTTGTTTTTCCTCATCTTTTTGTCTGGATACTTGCTCACATGAGGGGTGCAGACACGATGGAGCCTGGTCGCTCAGAACCAACAGCGAAACGGGCCATAGTTGCTGGGAGAGAGACAGGGGTAGAGAGAAGAGGTATAGCCCTGGCGACTCCAGTGTTACTGATGGAGTTGGAGTGGATGCAATTTTGGAGGTGGAGTGGACACCATGTAACTTTGTTCTGAGGAAGATATGTTTGTCAACCAGTTTTGTTTGAGATTCCTGTCTTGTTGGCGGTTTGTGTTTTGGTGATGAGGCCACCCAAAATTACTGAAGATTGGGGGAGCATTTTTGAGTGACTGAGCACTGGTTTTGAGTGTTTGATGTCTTTCGGCATTATGATTCGGTAAAATGTGCTGAGAGTGGAAAAACCTCATCCGTTGTGACTGTTGTTATCCAAGTTGCAATTTTGTTCAGCATAGTGGATGATGTTTATTACAATGATATTTACTGCTAGCCACCTAGAATAACTGCAGTCGCACACTCAACCGATATCAATACCTAGCAGTAAATGGAGATGGAAACAGCAAATCCTTCGAACAGCAGGAGCTGCAGACAGTTCTCTCTAGCAATAGGTGGAATTCTAATGGGCTGCACTGAATATATCAGTACATGGTGTAGCGTGATAAATGCAGACCTCACCTACATCTTGAAATGGTGTTTGCATCAATACTGGTTGCAATCTGCATTTGCCTGATGTGATATGATGTAAGCCAGCTAATGTAACCCTACAGGGCGGGGTGATAGGGGCCCCAGATGTGGCTGGGCATAATGCAAACCCATCCTGGGCGTGAACTGAGGGGACAATGGCAAGCACGATGGCAATATTCAGCCACAGATAGCTGGAGGTATCGACCCCTACTTGAACCTTGTCAGCATGTGAGCGTCCGCTAAGGGCCAGAATGCAGGGGACAGCATGCAATGGGAGAGCTCACTGCAGCACAAACTTTACTTCTTTGGTTACATAGTCTTCATGAGCCCCACCCAGGCTCAGGGGCTTCTTGTCAAAATCTCACATGGGGCCTTTCAGACTCAGACAGATGGACAAGGAGAAAACCCTTGGAGTTGGTACATGAAACCATTCCTACCCCCAATCGAATTGTCCAGTGCACTGTTTTATTTCTGCTTTTCTAGAGGGGGAAGGGGCGGGAGACGTTGGCTATCTGCTCTTCTGCCCAATCCCTAGTGGACTAGCCAAAACAATCGCTTCCGGCCAATCATTTGCATCCATTGGAGGGAGGCCACCGGTTGTGAGTGTCGATGGCGATCTGATGTTGCTGCAGCTTAGGTCCAGGACAGGATGGACAGCATTCGCCTTCCACTGCACCTTCCTTAAGGCAACTCTAATTTGTGATTGGTCGACCAGCGAGCTATTGGCGAGATTTCCTTCTTCCAATTTGTCTGTCGAGGGGATGTCTGGCCCTGAATCCTGTGGGGGACAGGGTGGATTGTTTTGCTGGTGGCCTGGTTGTGTCTCAGTTGGTCAGGGCGTCAGTTGGGTCAGGACAGCAACTGCTGGACGTCCCCAAGCAGCACAATTGGCATTGTTCATCCTATCCGGGGCAAACTCTGATTGGGCAATCTGCACGGGTGCGATGTTGTGGGAGACAGCTGTTTCTGACCCGATTCTTGGCCCATGCCGTTTGAACACTTGGCCATCACCTCGGTGCACAGTATGCCCTGCATTCAGTGCCGTCCACTCGAGGTGCCCCCCCTGAAGATGGGTGGATTGGCCAACAGGGGAGAGGCGCAACCGCGTTTGCTTCCTTGCTCCGGCAGCTGTGTGTTGGGGTTCAGGGATTCGTGCCAAAATGAATTGGACGGCCTCAACAAGAAAGGACAAAAAGCACACGGCAGAAAAATGCGGCACCGGAGCGGAATCTGCCCAAGCTACCTTGGAACCCGTCGGAACCTAACCCATCATGGGGGCGCCCCATTGGGCAGTCACCCCTGCGCGGATGGGGCGACTGTGCACGCCAACCTGAGGGACCAAGGCCCCCGCCGGTGCCCGCGACCCTGCTGTGGCCGCGCACCTGGCCGCGCCATGCGCATGGCGCACGCCCCCCGCCAGTGGAGCCGATCGCCGGCTGCCCTGGCTGCCGCCGCGGCGCTGCTGCTGGTCTTGACCTACATGGCGGCCACCCGCAGCGGCAAGGACACCTCCAGACGGCCCCCGGCGGTCCCATCCACCACGCTTGACGAAGATCGCGTCAGAAAATCATGCACGCCGGATGGGGGGCGGGGGGGGGCCGGGATGCGGGTCGTGATCACCGGCTCCGCGGGATTCATTGGCTACCACGTGGCCGGCGCCCTGAAGGGACGCGGCGACGGGGTGGTGGGGATCGACAACTTCAACGATTACTACCCCGTGTCGCTCAAGGCGGCGCGGGCGCAGGGGCTGGAAAAAGCGGGCGTGTACACCGTGCGCGGGGACGTGAGGGACGTCGAGATGATGAGCAGGCTGATCGAGCTCTGCCGTGCCACGCACGTCGTGCACATGGCCGCCCAGGCGGGGGTCAGGTACGCGGCTTCGCAGCCGATGCAGTACGTGGATTACAACGTGGCGGGCAGCGTGGGGCTGTTCGAGGCCGTGAAGGCCGCCGAACGGCCGCCGGCGGTGGTGTACGCCTCATCGAGCAGCGTGTACGGGCGGAACGTCAAGGTGCCCTTTAGCGAAGGGGACGCCGTGGTGCACCCGGCCAGCCTGTACGCCGCCACCAAGCTGGCGGTGGAGCTGCTGGCGGAGGTGTACCACAGCCTGAACGCGCTGTCGGTCACGGGGCTGCGGTTCTTCACAGTGTACGGACCGTGGGGCCGGCCGGACATGGCGTACATGTCCTTCGCGAGGGCGATGGTGGAGGGGGACCCCGTGCGCATCTTCCAGGTGAGAGATGACTCGCCTGGGCGCGCGCTGCCGCTCTGCGGGCTGGCAGGGCCGATTGGTCTCGCGGGGAGACCGACGTTTGGTGATTGGCTCGGTGCTGCTCTCGGAAGGCTTTGCCGTGGCTTGTTGCCGGAGAGTCGTGCCCTGTCTGGAGGGACGGCGTCGGTGTGTGGCGGGCCGCGCACTGGGATCGCTGTGGTGTTTCTGGCTTGTCTGTGGGCGCTTCCCATGGTGGTTCCAGGGGAGGTGGAAATGAGCACGAGCACGAGGTGGATCAAACGGTTGTTTCCTGGCTTGCTGTCGCCTGGTCGGATACAGGATCTTCGAGGCAGCAGCGTGGGAGGAGTCCCCAAGGCCCTGTGCGCCTGCAGGGCGGCCGCGCGCGCTGTTTTGCAGGTGGCGATCGGCTTGAGCCAGCACAGCCAGTGGCAGCTGGCAGAGGCACGAAACTCCTTGGCCATAAGATCATCTTTAGATCTGGGAGTGCAGTGATTGCAAGGGTGACAACCAGCCGGCGTTGCTGTTGTTTGATGGTGTCAGCTTAGCTTGGCTGGGCTGTGTGGTGGGATTCTGGAGATTGGGGATTGGGTTCTGGAGATTGGGTTCTGGAGATTGGAGGGTGGGGGACAAAAGCTATCCTCAGCTGCTGGTGTGAGGTGGCACCATACCTCATGTGTCTCTTGTGCCTGGTTTTGTCTGCAGGCGAATGGAGCAGAGCTGGCACGGGACTTCACCTACGTCGGGGACATCGTGGCAGGCGTGTTGGGCGCTCTGGACACAGCCCCTCCCAGCACGAGGGAACTTGCTGAGAACCGCCTGTTCAATCTGGGCAACACTCGCCCCGTGACGGTCACAGAGTTTGTGACGGAGCTGGAGGCGGCTCTGGGGCTGGAGGCGCAGCGGAAGTTTGTCCCCGTTCCCAACCTTGGGGACGTCTTGCTGACCCATGCAAATGTGAGCGCTGCTGGGAGCGCCTTTGGCTACTCCCCGCAGACCCCGCTCAGCGAGGGCCTCCGGTACTTCGCAAGGTGGTACTTTGAATACTACGGGGCGGACGGGCACACGATGGCGGACGACGAGAGGAACTATAAACCAGTGTAGATACCAGAAGGAGGTGGGGGGCAGGGAGTCTACCAGCAGCGATTGTTGTACAGGATGGCACCTTGTCCACAGTGGTTCCCAAGATCAAAGTGCCAGTGCCCTCCATAAAACGTTCTTTCCGATTGACGAACGAGCTGGTTGTGCAGATAGGAGTAGCAAGTTGTACATTTAGGGTATGGGATGGGTGGTCTGCTCGATTCATTGGTTGGGTTGGATGTGACCTTTCTACGCCGCGAGTGCCTTGCATGCAAGTTGAAGGCACGGGAAGAGAAGATATCCAAGAGAATGGGGGCGCTTCTATTGCCTCTGTCCGTTGCCTCTGTTGCCGGGGAGGCCGTTACCCTGCAATGGGTCCGATTCTAGGAGGGGTTTGGGACATTTCTGCTTGTTAGAAGGGGACAACCCCCGGCGTCAGGTTGTCGGACAGCATTCAGCCACTGTTGGGAATAATAGGCAGAATCATTAGCAATATTTGTACAATCCATGACACCCAGGTGAGTGCAATGATCGAAAGAATGTCGTTATGAACGTCACAGTCTGAGTGTCAGCTCCAGAGGCATTTTACCCTGGCTGCCAACCCTGTACCTCAGGCTTTTCACAGAAGCAGTCCCCATCCCAATGGTCCCTGCTTCACACCCTGGAATCGTACCCATACGGGTCCCATTTGCCGTTTCGCACCACAGCTCTAACGTCTTTGGGTCGGCCACAAGATTTACAGAGCACCCGACACGAAGGTCGTGAGCTGCCGCGCCCACACTGTCAGGCAGCTGGACCTTTACCTCGTGCCTGTTCCCACAACGTGCAAGCTAGGTCAGATGAGAACGCCAATACTCTCGCTGAAACGCAAAGGCGCGACATTTCAACTTCTGCTTGTTCCAAGCAGTTTTGACTGCCATCTGTAACCAGCCACCTAATAGATGGCCCAGTCCTGGCGTGGTTACATTGAGGAACGCAATAGAACTCGTCGTTGCACCCCCACTGCACACTACAGTGAGCAGCGGAATTCTACATTGCGACATTGAACATGCAGCACAACGCACGTATCATGATCGTCCACTATCCAGCATGGAACGCCTTGAGGAGTTACGCATTAACGAACGTGGACCCAATTGCGGCAGGGTGACACCATTCTTCCCTTGAAAAGCCCAACCGCTTGGCCCAAAGGAAAAACATGGCGCTTTGCATGCAGGTATAACTTTGTGTGTCCGGATTGCCACTTTCTGTCCGAATTAGGCTGCAAGTGACCGGCTACAAACGCCAGCAGGTCCCCTGATTAGGATAATTTGTCTGGCATAAAACGCTGAAACATGCCCTAACTCGGACAATGTCCGGCAAGCATACTGCCAACTGGCCCCAATCCGGAAACACGACAATCGACGACCTGCATGTAGCACAACAGCTACGGACCCCTGACCAACAAAAATACGATCCTACCCACCTTGGCCGAGGGTACCCACAAAACCTCTTCGGCTGCAGCCCGGCTGGGAGCTCTGCCCCCTCGGGCAGGATCACTTGGGTCTCCCGGAGGCGCATCCGAATTTTCACCATCCCATCTTCAAGAGGGCGTCCAGCGTCGGGGCCACTCCTGCTCTCCTCCTGCTCGGCCTTGCTGATGGCGTCCCTGAACCGGGCGCTCATGGCCGCCCTGATCCTGGCCTTTGTGCTCTCCTCGTTCTCCTTTCTCTGCTTCTGCATTTGGAGACGGCGGCGCTCTGCCTCCTTCGACCGCTTGAGCTGCTGTTCCTCGCTCAACTCGGTCCTGTCGGTAACAAAGGCTGGAATCGCTCAGTTCTTGGCACGCCGTGATGCGGCAAACTCGTAGCAATGCATTTGGCGATGGCGGGTGACAGAAGCAGATTACCAACAGCAGTGTGTGTTCAACAAGGGCCGCACAGGTGAGATGCGGGAAATTCACCATGCACATTGGGGTGAGAAGCAGACAGGATTGCACGACTTGGAGCCAGAGGGACACATGCAGGAGCTTTGAACTGGACTGTCTCCTGAGTACACCCAGCCCCTTTGGCCCCTGTGGCGTTGGTCTGGTGTTTCGGAGCCCTGTATGCCTCAATTCCAACCAAGCGCTGGGTTCTCGCCACCTAGTGGAAGCCTGGATTCTTTTCTCAACATGGTGCCAATACAACACAAGAGTTAGCCGCCCCACTGCTGTGCCTGATCCGCCAGTGCATGTCAATGGTGAGGTTGGAGAAAATAGCCTCATTGTCACCACACAAACCAAAGCCATGCACGTATCTCCTGTTACGGAAAAGGGAGGTCTGCATGAACGTGTTTCCCTCTTTCAGACCTGTGAAGATGTCGATTCGCAGGGATAATATACTTGGCAGCAAATTGCACCAATACACATTGATCTTGGTTCAAAGGCATTGCTTGTGATGTGCCAAATCTAAGCACAAGAATTCCATCGCACGAATCCCCCAATGCGGCACTTTCAATCCACAATTCTTGGGCAGACTATGACCAGAGTGGCATATCTAACCGCATGCTACCCTGCCGCAATCTTTTCTGGGTGAATTGAACAAACATTCTTCAACAAATTCCGTGGATGGAATATGTTTCATATCGGCTTGCAGGTGCAAGAAAGCTGCTTTGTGACGCCTTGGTAAGCGCCGGTGAATGGATTCCGATCCACGAACACTCCTGCACCGGATAAGGGCACCATGGCCTTCCTAGGAGGCACAAGCGGTTAGCGCGGTTGAGTACAGCACCACCATCAATTTTGTCAAGCGGAGGCAGTTCTTGTATGTTCGTTGGGAGACTGTTCTCCATTGAAACGTTTTCCTGTTCCAACAAATCCACATACCATCGCTGACAAAAAGAAACCCCATGGGAATCTCTGCTGAGGAGGGAGCAGGGCACATAACGACGCATTCCCTTCATCGCTCAAAGCATTCTCATACCGCCGACACCACCAGGTAGAATAAGGAGGACACTTTCCAAACCATTCAGGCGGCCATTTGCTGTATGCGTGTCTGCAGCATCTGCAATCATGCCCCAGAGTGCATCCATCCCCCGGATGAACGAAAGCATCACTGGCCCCCTCACTGAACCGTCTTCCAACACCAATCAGTCCCCAATCCCCCGCACTTGGGCTTCGCCTTGGTGCTGTAGTCCAGCTCCGGCGGCAGGTCCAGGTCGCTCCACTTGGTCTGCTGCACGCCCTGCTCCAGACGCTCCTGCCGCGCCAGCTGCCTCGCCGTCAGCCTCCTTCCCATGCCGCCTGGCAGGCTGCCCTCCGATCCCCCGCTTCCCGATTCCCCCGAGCTGTCCCCGCCGCTGCGGGCATCCGATTCCGTGTCCGTGGCCGTTTGGATGAAATCATCGGACTGGGTCTCTTCGGAGGGGCCGTCGACGGATGGGGGGCTGGCGGGCCGCGTGGCGCCGCTGGCGGTGTGGGTGTCTTCCGAGTCGGCGTCGGTCTGCGTGCGACAGTCGTCGTCAGTGTGCTTGGAGAGACTCATTGGGGTTGGAGGATGCGCAAGGGGGGCTGTGTTGCTGGTGCAGGGGGCAAATGGCGCTCGGAGAATTCGGGCAAACGTGCCGCGAGAATCCCGCAAGGTCCCTGAGGCCCTGAGGCTTTTTCTTAATGACGTTTTTTTGACATGCGGCGCTGTTCGGATAGCCGGATAGCACCGCCGGGAGAGTAGCACCCACCGACAAAGATGCTCTAAAGCTTCTTCTGAACCTACTTCTAACTCTTCTTCGAAAGCTTCTTCTACAACTCCTTCCGGAGCTGCTTCTCAGGCTTGTTTCAAGGCTTCCCCTTCCCAGCATCGGCAGCCTTTGCGCCGAGAAGGAGAACATGCCGCACAATGGGCACCCTTTTGGGTGGAGGAATTGGGGTTTTGCTCTTGTCCGCGCTGTGATAGATGATGCGAAAGGGCATGAAAGCAGCGTTAAGTGCAGAACACAAAAATAGTGAAAGCATGATAGTGTCGCTGTAGGCATCCTGAACCTGTAAACCGCACCAAGCAAATGGCCACGCCCATAGCAAATATTCCACTGAAATGTAGCCCCCCCTTTCCTCAGATCCACCTCCCTTGTTGCCGTCTTGTTCAACTCCCTGTCCAATCTTGAGCAACCCCACACATACCGTTATTGAGTCCACATCTTTTCCACTGTTGGCGTAGAAAAGTACACTATCCATTCCGCTTTTGGAGCCGTCTTTCCTGAATCCGCAAATTGGAAGTTTTGTGATTGACATCGTACTGGTCGACCATGGGCTCCTGGGGATATGGGCTCCCTTGAGTTCTCGCATACTTCCCAAGGGCGTGACGTCGATGCAGGGACATGTACTCTGGTTTGATCGCACACCCCGGACAGACACGAACTTCATAATTGTGAGTAATTAGAGTTTGGGATCTGTTTGTGGTTGTGTTTTCTTTGCCACAAGATCTGGAGCCAGGCGACTCCATGTGCCAGCAGCAGTGCTGCCATGAATGGCGCATGACAGAACCTGGCTCTCTGAAATTGATGTGTTGCAGCATGTACCTTACTATCAAATACAACAATGCTCGTTTGTTGTCTAATGCTGCGCCTCACCATAGATTGGTCGAAGTGACTGAAGGAGAGTCATTGTGATGCCGGATTGTCATCCTCCAGCACGCGATAAGACCTGAAGCATGTTGGTTTTGTGTGTATTGGTAATATGTTGGAAAACCATTTCATACCTCGTTGCATCAGCAACTGAACAGTCTCGGACGTCCCTGCCCTCAAATCTGCTGTGGGTTTGCTGCATCACCACACCGTGCACGATTGGTTCATAGAGGAAGGTCAGAAACTCATCATAGAACCTGTTGCCATGCCAGCGTGAGCCCAGCAGTGGAGCATATCAGTGCGTTACACCTGCTGAGTGCTGCTTCACTGTCCTCAACTCCCCAGCACATATGAGCTGTTGAATCTCAGGTTGTGATTCACAATGAGGATTGCCTTTTCATGCTGACATGCGACTGCATGGCCCTGCGTGCAGTTACATGCTTGTGCCCGCTTCGCATGTGCCTTGCCAAGGGAACGGTGCCAGTCATACTTTCTCTAAAAGCCATGGTCGGCCAACTTATGATCAATCAATCCACTGACAACTAAACCACACACATGCGCGCTCCGATTAGTGCTTGCCCCCGTTAGTGCGTACCTTCCCAAGTATTGATCTCCAGACATGACAAGGCCGAAAGCGAGTCAATTATCGTGGTGAAGGTGTGGCACCATCACATGGGCCCGGTACTGTGGGACAACTGGATGCACCATCCACAATAACTCCCACACATTGAAGACTGTATCAGATTTTAATGCTCATACTGTGGCATTTCTCGCGTGATCTCTCAGTAAGGTAGTGAAGACTCTACAAAATGGCTGATCAGATGTGTCAGATCTGCCAATGGTTTCGTGGCCTCAATCGTCACCCCCTGGCACCAACGCAAATTGAGATGACGCAAAGCTGTCAGGATGGCCAGCGACTTTATAGCTTGATTTGTGATTCCCTGGCAGTCGTTCAGGTCAAGAGCACACAGCCCAGTCAGGCTTACGAGAGCTTGAATTCCCACATCCGTAATCCCTTGGCACTCGCTCAGGTCAAGATGGTGCAGCCCCTTCAGTTTTGCCAAAGATTTCATCCCCTTGTCTGTGATGCCCCGACATTCCTTCAAGCACAGATGATGCAGCGATGTCACGCCCTCCAGTGACACCAACCCTTCATCTGTGACACCTCCACACCAGCCTAAGTCCAGGTGATGCAGTTCCTTTAAACCTGCCACTGACTTCATCGCCTCGTTTGCGATTCCCTTGCAGCCATACAAGTCAAGGCGTTCGAGCGCTGTCAGGCCTGTCAACGCTCCCACCCCTTTGTCCGTCAGGCCATCACACCAGCCCAAGTTGAGGCACTGCAGAGTTGTCAGATGCGCTATTGACCTCACCCCATTGTCCCCAATCCCCTTGCAGCTCCTCAAGATTAGTGACTGAAGTGCAGACAGACCTGCCAGTGATTTCATCCCCTCATCTGTGAGTCTCCTGCACCAACTCAAGTTCAGATGCTGGAGGCCTGTCAGGCACCCCAGTGCCCTCATCCCCTTGTCCGTTATCCCACACCAAATCAAGTCCAGCCGACGAAGCATAGTCAGATGCTGTGCCACCCTCTGCTCCTTGCCAGCAAAAATACTCGGACAGACACGCAGGTGCAGGTGCCGCAGCCCCACCATGCATGCCAGCGAGGTCATTCCCGCATCAGTCACATCCGCACAACTGTGTATTTTCAAGGATCGCAGACCTGTCAGATTTGCAAGCAACTTCAACTTTTCATCCGTTATGAAACTCATGTCAAGGTGCTGCAGGGACAAGCAATTGGCCAAGGACCTCAGCGTTTCGCCGCCCGCCAGCCCGTACGTACTAATATTGAGTCCCCGCAGTGTGCCTGATGCTGCCAGGGCTTGTATGCCCCTGGCTGTGAACTCGTGACATCGCGTCAGGTCGACAGTGCAAATCGTCGAATTTGCTCCCAGCATGGTGAGCGCTGCGTCATCCACCCCCGAGCAATTCGAGAGCACCAACTCCTTCACATTCATAAAGCGCTTGTCTACAACCACCAGTACGTCCTGCAGGGTCACATGCTCAGGAGGACGCAGCTGCCTGACGCCTCCTGACGCCCACTTGGACCAGTGACCGTTTACCAAATGGGCAACTCTTGGAAACCAGGATGTGGTGGTGCCACCCTCTCCTTCCTGTTGGGGTTGCGCCTCCCACTTCCCTCCCTTGAAGATTTCGTCAATTCTGTCCAACAGATCGAACTGCAGATGTGCCCAACCCTGCGGCATGGAAATTTGTGTCGTCAGCAAGCTCACGATACATCTGCTTCGGCTTCACGCGCCCCAAAACCTTCAAGATGCCATAGCTACCCGGCATTAGTATCCCACCCCCATTGGTATCCTCATTCTCTGGGGTTGTCAACCAGCACAGTATCCCAGTATAACCCAGTATTTTTATCCATCCTAAAGTACTGGCCTGTGGCCTTTCCATGATCGTTGCTTGAAGGCTTGCTGGCTGGCGGCTGATGGCACCCCGCACAGCTTGCACCAACAAAGAACAGCTGGGAACGAGTCTGTCCCAGCATTGATCAGCTGCAGGCTAGTCCGGGATGCTTGACAGGGACTTTTTGTTGATGCTGCAAATGGCAAATGGAGTTTCCAATGTTCTGAAGTTGATGACTTGTCAACTCTTTCTTAGTGCTGCTGTTACTTATGCTGTGCATTTTCATTGATTCCTACCAGTTTTGCACATTGTTTATCTGAAAGCTTCAGGTTTTCTCTGCTATTTTCTTGTACAAAGGGCCCAAACAATGACAGTATGTGTGACCCAGTGCTTGCATCCATAACCTTGCCTCGCTTTTCTTTTTTCTTTTTTTTTGGGGGGTGGGGTGGGGGTTACCTGTCCACAATACCAGACAATTATGATAGCTAGAAAAGCATACAAGGAAGCTTAAGCTGTATTTGTGGCACAGACTCAAGTTCAGGACACCACTTGAGTTCTAGCCAACCACATAGCTGAGTTAACAAGTCATGAGGAGATGACTATAATGTCCTGGACCAGTTTCAACAGCAGCGCCACAAAGCAGACAAGATGGTTTTTGCCTTTGGAGGACAGCTATAGTTGCATTCGATGAACCTGCTCCCTATCATTACCATTGTTTGTCTGCAACCATCCTGCACGCCATTCTGGATAATAGTTCGGCTTGGATCTCAACAGCTTCTAAAGGAAAGACACAGCCAGCCATTGTACTGCGTTCTGGGTTCAGGTCACCTGTGTTGGATTCGGTCCCTGACCTGTTCCAAGAGTCACTGTGCATGTGAGGGCTTGAAAAACCTTCAAAGCCTGCTTTCCTGTGTGCATGTTGGTTTGGAGTTATGAAGGAGCTCGAATGTCAGCAGTGTGGGATTACTTGGTTTGTGTGTGACAGGCTCAAGGCAGAGCAGGTTTCTCATTGGCTCCCCGGTCTTCACATCTTTTCCTTGGCTGTGTTACTGCAGGATTATGAGGATGCTTTCATTTGGTCAGCTGTAGGCGTGTTGGCATGCAAATAATATTTGCCCAGAATGTTGCTGGGCAGCAGTCAAGGTAATGTGCGTTGGGTGTTGTTTCCTGTGCTGGCGTCAGGTGTTGCCTTTGTTTGGGCGTGGGAGGCAGGCGCCGATGCCACAGACCTCTACACAGATTTCGATTGCCAAAGCTGTCTAAGCGTAACCCTTGTCCAGACAAACATGTGCCTACTCGCACGTGCGCACATGGCACACAGAGTACACATAACATGGGTACAGTACACATAACGTGTGTACAGTACGCATAACATATACCCGTATATTATGACCAGTTCTCAGAGTCACTGCCCCTCCAGGTTTTAACAACTGGATGACCACACGAAACACTTTTCTCAGGCGACACCGCCACTCAAGCACTTTTCTGAGGTGATGCCAACCGCATGACATCCTTCTCCTCTCCCTACAGATCGCCTCCCGTCCAGCGCATAGACTGTGCCAGCAATGGCGCAACGGCAGTGACAACTGCTGGAATGCTGAGCACTGGGAAAGGCTGTTGTGCCATTCATTCTTGGCATCAGTCGCATCGCTGTGAAACATGTGCTCATACCGCAGCGCCGTCAGATTGCTTGACAAGGCAAGCCCCTGCTCCCAGAGGGGCCGTGTCTCAACGGACAAGCAACGGACAACGCGTCGACGGCTCATCTAGCCTTTCTCAGCAAGTAGCGCGGCGATCAGCGCCAAAAATCAGCAGCATCCTTGGCATAGACACGCGCAAGGTTATGCGCCCAGCACCGAAGTTGGTTGAGGACCAACCTCGGCGTCGTTGGCAAGTCAACAAGACTTCCAATCAGCCAACCAATCACAAACGCATCTCGCCAACAGCTCAAAACTGCGCTGCCGCCCTCAGGCACTCCCATCCACAGAACATCCAGCCGTGGCCAAACGCCCGCTGCGGCACTGAAACACCACGGATTGGCAAGTTATGCGCGACCACCCACTTGTGAGCTGCAGCCGTCGTCGTTCGAAAGGGCCATCACTGGGGGCCTCTGACGGAACAGCGGCGTGCGAGGTCACATGCTCCAGCGCAGCATCCCCCGTGCTGCCGGGTTCAGCCCCATTGCCCCAGCACAATCGCGAACAGAGTGCCACCTCCAGCCAGCAAGGCCAGCAAGACCGCACGAGTACTGATTCGAAAGTACGCTCCCAGGTTGATTTGGCAGTAATTTGGTCAATGCGATCAGCGCAGGACCGTGTGTTCAGGGGGCTGGAACCCAAGAGACACTCCGCGATCCTAATTTCCAGCTGGCCGACTGGCACCGGCCCAAGCGCCTCCATCGCCTCTATTACCCGGAACGGGTCAGGCGGGTGACCTGCCTCAATTGTGCCCGCACCTCCCCACCGAGTGCTGGCGCACGCCTTGGCGATTACCTTGGGGCGTTTGGGTATGCGCAACACAAATGCAACACACCCGCCTACCTACTAAATGCGCCCCCACTTCCTGGCGCCAACACAGCTTGATCGGTCTGTGGTTCAACTCAACCCACTCGAATCCCCAACTCGCCCCAACCCACCCATTTCTTCACGCCCTCCCCCGTCCACTTGTCGATCAAGTAACCTCGCAGCTTGTTGACGTCTGGCACCTCGTCCACCTCCATCTCGTCGCACCACCTTCTCCACTCCTTGAAGTACGAGTCCTTGTGCCTCCTAGGGCCCCGGTTCTCATGGCCAGCCACCACTGCCTGCTCCACGGTGTCCAGCTCCTCGGGCGTGCGGAGCTTGCCCCTCATCCCATCGCCATTGTGACCGCCCACCGCCATCAGGTCGTTTTCCTTGTCGCTGCCTCCCCCTAGCCCTCGCGCACTATCGCGCGCACCGCAGGTGCTGCCTGGTCCGTTATTGCTGCTGCCAACTGGGGTCCCGGGTAGGTTGATGGGCGGTGGGGGGCGCCGGGAAAGGGGGCTCCCACTCGCTGTGCTTGGAGGGTCACGGGGCCTGGCGGGCTGGTCGGGGGTTTGAGCTGAAGACGCGTGCGTGGAGGGCAAGAGCGGCGCACGGCCCACGTGCCCCCACGCCTAAGAGGCTGGCGGGGGGTGAGTCGGCGCCGACGTCCATCGTGGCATTGGGCTCGCTGCACGCACAAAATTGCGCGGGCCCCAAGGCCTGAGTGCCATAATCCAAGGAACGGTGGGGGCCGCAGAACGGTCTCCACGTTCCCCAGTTGGAGGGGCCCTATGTGTCATGGTGTTCCCCGATTCTGCGGAATTATGCTGTAATTTGTTGCCGTGTACTCAGGCTTGCCCCCTTCCCCCCGGGGTTGTCAGCCCTCGACCCTGCCATCCTTCATTGAAGCGGCCTAAGTAGTGACGCCTGATAATCCATTAAGACGCTAATTATTAGTGCGTCAAGCACAAATTTAATTCCCGCCACACAGCTGTCATCCCCTCTTGATACTCGGGCTTATTGGAACATGCAAAGGCGACCATCATGACATGCTCTGCGGCGGCGAGCTGGATGGGTTTGCTGTCGCAGATTTTCAGAGACCACTATCATGGGCAGATTGTGAGAATGCCCTCCCGTGGTCATACCTTTAGGGGTGGGCGTTTGGCAATGTTCATTTCCAGCACAGCAGTCGCTCTGGTCGTGCAGCAGTTTAAAACAAACAAGGCGATGTACACATCAGGTCTCCAAACACGTCCCTCAAATTGGTTCGTGGGCCCAATGCAACTGCGCGGTGATTGTCGAAGTGGATTGTCTCTCTTCAGAAGAGAGAATCTCACTATCTTGAAACATAGTTATTTGATGGCATTAGAGCTGGGACAAGGCGTCAGTCGATTGATATCCATCCTGAGGTTGAGAGTTCGTTGGCACCCCTCATCCCCAATGGATAGTGAATCATGCCCAATTATTAGGTCCACTGTGGGACCCAAAACACATGAAAATGTTGGGCATTGTGCTGCCCTATATTTGAGCTATGCCAACGCTACGGCGAAAAAAAGCATTATTTCGAAACTTCTCATTCCGCTGTGTCGCTTCCCTTTGGGCCCCCGCCATCGCGAGGGGCCTTCGATGCGCATGGTGGTTAGCCACTCGATGCTCCGCCTCCGCCGGGTCCGAATCGTCGGACTACGCGTGCTGGGCACGGCGCTCGTGGCGGTATGCTTGGGGACAGGCGAGCTCGCGGGCTCCGCCGGCCAGGTCGGCCGAGGTCACGGGGTCGGGTCGCAGGCGCAGTTTGCTTGCGAGAGAAAGGATCATTACTACACCGCACTCACCACATAAGTACGGTGGCAAGCTCGCGGGCCACCGGTGCGGAAAGAATCCGTGTCATGGCACCCACACCGGTTCCTTAGTGTACTGTCATCGTACCCATACACTTCATAACCTGGAAATAAATTGTCCTGACCGTTCATAATCTGATAATCACTCCTCTTCTAAGTATTTTCGTCCCGAAAATCAAATCATGAACCACCACTCAATCCACCCGTGTCCTCTATTGGTTGGTCCCTCTCAATCATTATCGGAATATCCTCGGGAGGTTTAATTTCCGTCTCCGGTACCCAAGTAGCGTCCTCAATCGGCCAGCCAAGCCACAAGATAAGAAACTCACGAGTCCTCCTATTTCCTACCCGAATATATTGCCACCGGAGCAACTTTTCTACTTCGTACTCGTCATCCGCCATTTCAATTTCCGGAACAGGAGCCTGCTCATGCTGATCCCAATCACTGTCATACCATGCCTTGAGTAGGCTCACATGAAACACATTGTGGATACGCCAGTCATCGGGAAGCTGCAGTCGGTAGGATTGGGTACCAATCCGTTCGATGACATGGAAGGGCCCCACAAAGCGTCTCCGCAGCTTTGCCGGTGTTCCACGCATCCGAAGGTTCGTAGTGGATAGTAGAACAAGCTGATCCACTGTGTAGGTCTCAGGGCGATGACGACGATCATAATATTTCTTGTGTTGCTCGTTCGCCCAGTGGAGATTGTTCTGCACCTTGGTAAAAGTCCGATGTAAGCGCTGAGCGAAGCTAGTTACTGTCTCAACAGGAGAATTGTCAGTCCCTCTGATCAGCTCATTTGGAGTCACTAGGTGATATCCATAATTCAGAGAGAAAGGCGTGTACCCCGTGCTCCTATTTGGCTGGTTGTTCACACTAAATTCAACAATGGGTACCAATGAATCCCAATCACGAGGCTCTCCCAATTCATGCATAGTGCAATGCAGTGTTTGTTCAAAAATTGCGTTCATTCTTTCTACCAACCCTTGAGTCTGTGGGTGGTAGGCACTGCTGAATCTCAAGTCAGAACCAATCAATTTCCAAAGACTTCGCCAAAAGGCACTAGTAAATCTGCGATCACGATCAGAGTACAGTGCCTTGGGCAATCCATGAAGTTTTCCCATATGTTGCCAATACAAAAATGCAGTTTCAGATATTGAAATTTCTTCTTTGCAGGGTACAAAATGTACCATCTTTGTGGCCCTGTTGACCACTGTAAGCACAGCATCGTTACCACATTGAGTCGTAGGCAACTTGGTAATAAAGTCCAAAGTCACCTCTGTCCACTTTTGCTCAGGTATTCTCAATGGCTGCAACTCGCCACGTGGACGTTGATATTCAGACTTCTCCAACTAACAAACTGGGCACGATAGGACATGCTCTCTGATATCACCTGCCATTCCTCTCTAATACAAACCTCTCTTGGCAGTGTGTAATGTCCTCAAATAACCTGGGTGTCCAGCATAGGGAACATCATGGAGTTCCTGGAGTAGCAACTTCTTGACCTCATGGTGGTCTGGTACCACAATTTTCCAATACTGGTCTTCGTCACTGAAGTCGTTGCGATGGATAACTAATGAGTGGTGCTTCACCCTATACTTTTCCTGACCTCGGCTCACTTCTGGATTAGTGAGCGGTGCTTCGTCGATTTTCTGTAAAATCTCCGAGTATGGACTTTCTTGTTCCAACAATTCCATCATCCTGTCTCGGAGTCGACACTCAATGTCCAGAGTGGTCCTGGTGACCAAACATCGTGCCAACAGTGCAGGAGTTCCATTATTACTGCTCTCCACTGATGACAATACTGCAGATGAACTGATTTCCTTCCTCTTAACAAACAACTGATGTAATGTAGCTTGGATGTCCTGATCTGAGGTGTCCTCACCTAACTATAAGATTCTGGCCAGATTGTTGTCCTCCTCCTTTGCAGCGCTACTCAGCTTTTGATCATCCATCCACCTCTATCGCCTAAGGGCGTCTGCTGGGTTTTTCTGGCCTGGAATATGCTTGATATCAACATCATAACTCTGCAGAACGCCAACCCACTTCCAAATACGACGGTGGACACTGGGTTGATTGGGCAGATGTTGCAGGGAATTATGGTCAGTCTGAATAATGAACCTACGCCCTTGTAGAAAATGACGCCACTGTCCCACTGCTCATATGATACCCAATAATTCCCTTTCATATGCCGAGTATTGGATCTCCGCCAAGTTCAATTTCTTTGATGCATACGCAATCGGTTGGAGACCCTTTCCATGATCCTACTGCAAAATTCCACCTACGGCAACCAAACTGGCATCCGTGGTCAATACAAATGTCTTATCAAAATCCGGGAATATGAGGATTGGTGCTGTCGTCAAAGCCACCTTGAGTTGCGCAAAACTGCGTTCCTCATCCTCTCCCCAGTACCACGGCTTCTTTTCCTTAGTCAAGTCTGTCAGAGGGTATGCAATAGTCAAAAACCCTCTAACAAATCGCCTATAGAAATTGGCTAACCCCAAAAACGATCTAACGTCCCGAACTCCTCGCGGTGTAGGCCATTCCACTATTGCTTTGATTTTCTCTTGAGACGGCTGCATTCCCTGGGTAGAGATAGTGAATCCCAGATACTCCACCCTGTCTTTGAGGAACTCACATTTATGCAACCTCCCAAACAACTTGGCCTCTCTCAATCGCTGCAAGGCAACTTGCAAGTGCTGCCAATGTTCTTCTATCATTCTCGAGAAGATCAGTATATCATCAAGATACACCA